AATGAAGTGAGAGGACAGTGCAGACCTGTTTCACCAGTATGCAAATCACATAAGGCAACACAAATGACTTAGCAAGAACGGAGTGTGGCTCACCCACACATTGACTCTGCTGGTTCAGACCGGAGAGCAGGCTCAAATCCAGACAGGCCTTTCTTAGGAGGTTTTGTTGGAATTCCACAGGACCCCAGCTTTGAAGCGAGGACCAAGACAGAGAAGAGAACTCCATTTATAGAGTGAGTTCTATATGCCAGGGACTTTCGAATCCATCATTTTAGGGGAAGGGAGGCAGAGGAATCTTCATGATATCCATAGTCAGCAGTTTCATTTTAGCAACTGGAAGCAAAATCTTAGTATAGGAAAAGGATTTTAAGATAATATTCCTTTTTAGTGAAAAAATTTCATTGCATTCATTCTGTGTTTCACAGAGTTTTGAACATAATAGATGCTTGCAACTTTTTTTTTGAATAAACAAATCTCCTTATATTATATATGATAAAATAGAAATTCAGAGAAGCGGAGTGACTTACTCTGGCTGGTACGTAGCAGAAAAAAGATTCCAATCTAGTTGTTCTGACTGGAAATCAAACACTTTCTGCAGTGTCAGAGTGATGTTTGGGAAGTGGATTCTGATGCTGATTCTTCAGCCCAGAGGCTTTCACACAGATGGGGAAGTAAACCCAGATAAGACATGTCACCAGCTGCTGACAGAGAGGTTAGAGCAATTTCAGCTTTCTGGTTTTGTCCAGCTCTGCTCAGCCTTCTTCTAATCACCCTCTTTGGGGCACCTAGGACTTTGCTGAAGCCCCTGCAGGCATTCTGATTCTGGGAAAGTCTCCTTGCTCTGTTGGTCCAGGATAGGGGCATGGCATGGTTACAGGGTTTGCCATCTTCTCTTGAATAGTTGTATTTGCCCCCTGTGGAGTGAGAATGAATGGAGCCTCCAGAGTTACTTATTGCCCCAGGCTCCAGAATGTACTCACTGATCCTAGTGAGGTCCAAACCTCTAGCCTGGAGTATCTCATGTGAATTGATCTGTAAACTGGCAAAACCAATCTATTTAGCAGTGAGATTGGTGTGGGATGGAGGGAGTTATCAGATCATTAATCAATCTCAGAGTCTGTTGCCACCAGTCTACTCAAATCAGATGTAGCCACTGGGTGAAGATCATCGTGCAATCTCCTTCTTTAGTAATTTATTTGTTGTGGTGAAATCGCCACAGTCATTGAGTTAAATCTCACTTACCAAGGCAAAAGAGTGATCTAGATTTCTGAATCGTGTCTTGAGTGCCTGCCCTGTGCCAGATGGGGTCCTTTCCATGTTGTCTCCTTCCATCCTGGCAACTCTGAGAGGGAGATACTGTTCTACTGATTTTACAGAAGAGGAGACTGAGGCTTTGAGGAGTTAAGTGACCACACACTTAGTAAGTGGCAGAGCCAGGACTGGAATCAAGGCTATCTCACCCCAAAATACACTTTACTGTTGCACAGCTTTCCTCCAAGCTGCAGACACCAGGAGCAGTCATGGCCTTAAGGCATTCCTCCATAAATGGGGACATGGGGGAGCAAGCCCCCATCTGCTGGCTGTAACTCCATGTCTGGCTGCTTCCCCAAGGAATTCTTTTCCCATGGCCCCTACTTCTTTCTCGTTCATAAAGCACTCCCTTCCTCCCTTCCTGGAGCTATTCTGCTAATGGGTCTCTTCCTCTCTCCTCAAGGTTCTCTGATGTATGCATTTTTTTTTTCTTTTATTAAACTCCAACCTTAAATATCTGAATCACTGGAAGGGGACATGTGGGCCTTGTCCGGTTGGGAAACCCACCCTTCCTCTGCCCCACCCTGGTTTCTAAGGCCTGTGACCTGAAGTCTGTGTGCGGAAGGCAGGGGGAAGGGTTGGGGATTTTTAACAAGCATTTTCTGAGGACCTGTAGATTTTTCCATAAGGGAAATAAGAAAATCTTGGTGCTACTAGGTCCCAATTAAGAAAAGTGATTAAAGAATAAAATCACTTATTTATTGAGTAGCACGTCACGCCATGCTTTTATCTATGCTGTCAACCAGTCTGTACAACAGCCTGTAAGATAGTGGTTGTTACACTTATTTTATATGAGAAAACTGAGTCTCATGAGATTTTTCTGATTAAAACCTGTGCTCTTTCTGTTACCTGTCCCAGCCCCGTCCATTGCCAAAGAGTCTTTAATTTCAGTAAAATAAAAAGATGACAAGAAATTAAATGTGAAAGGAGATTTGTTTCTAAATTAAATGTTTTATGTCTCCAGTGGCATCGGCTGCTCTTTAGACCACATTTACATTATTATAATAATCTCTACTTTTAAAGGTTTATTACCTTAATCAAAATATTCATTAGAAGGAAAAATGTTCATTCAAAGTTAAATCTTGGGTGTACTTTTTACATATTTAAATTCAACATGAATTAAAATTCTCTTCATTTATACCAATAAAAGTAACCTTTTGAACATTAGGAGTGTCAAAATAAGGATTTAGTATAGAGCATTCACCAGTCTTTTTTAAAAAGACCCTTAATATTCCATGGAATATGGTTTGGGAAAAACTGGCCTACTGATAAAGGTCAGTTTCCCTAGTCGGACACCCAAGGTCTGTCACGAACTGGCGCCTGCTTGTCTTTGCAGCCCTGTTTCACTCCCTGTACACCCTCTTCTCTAGCTATTCTGAACTATTCGGAGTTCGGGGAAGCCATCCCTCTGTCTGGAACATACACCCCTCTCTACTGTCCCTTTCACTCCTAGCAAATACCCATTCATCTTTAGGATTCAGTCAAGCATCTCTTCCCCTTAGTAATTGACCCTGGACCCCCAACTTCCTTCCTAACTTCTATAAAATACATTAGTACATTGGGCCGGCCCGTGGCTCACTCGGTAGAGTGCGGTGCTGATAACACCAAGTCCACGGGTTCGGATCCTATATAGGGATGGCCGGTTCGCTCACTGGCTGAGTGTGGTGCTGACAGCACCAAGCCAAGGGTTGAGATCCCCTTACCGGTCATCTTTATAGAAAAGAAAAAAAAAAAAATACATTAGTACATTTATTTGTTTTCACGTATCCCCCCCAACTATATGCTCCATAGGGCAGGAATTATAACTTCTCGGTTTTTTGTCCTTGGCACCTGTCATAGTGCCTGGCTTCTTACTTATTTATTCTGGCTAGTATCACAGGTTTGGTCTTCTGGTTATCTTTAGAATAATTTTTTTGAGTTTTTGTTTTCTCCAGATCTTTTTAGGAGGACCATAGGAATCGAATTGAATTTACATGTCAACTTCTGAATTCAAAAGTGGAGTGTTCTGGGCCGGCCCGGTGGCGCACTGCTACAGTGCACCGCTTGGGAAGTGCGGCGGCGCTCCCGCCGAGGGTCCGGATCCCACATATAGACCGGCCACTCACTGGCTGAGCGAGGTGTGGGCGCAACACCGAGGGTTGCGATCCCGTTGCCGGTCCCGGTCCGGTACGGGCGCGACACTGAGGGTTGCGATCCATTGCCGGTCACGGAAAAAAAAAAAAAAAAAAAGTGGAGTGTTCTTTCAAATAAAAATTCTATTCACATTTTTATATTCCATATTTCATAAAGGCCCTATGCAATTCTTGCTAAGTTAATTATTATGTATTTAGTTATATTTACTATTATGATGATTTTATCACTTCTTTTAGATTTTTAAGTTGTTATTATCACATATGAGAAAGCCATTGATTTTTACCACTTGTTTTGCAGCCAGCAACATCGACACAGTCTCTTATCAGTTTTTTATTTGTTGCTCTTAGATTTTTCCAATAATGCAAATACTTATGTAATTTCAAAACGCTTATAAAGTTGCCTGTTGTTTTCCATGCCTGGCTTTCTTGGATCAGTTTTCCAAGCAGTTGTGGATTCAGTCCCAGATACTTCGTGGCCAAGAGTGACTCTGGGATCTCCCACTCTTCTGTCTCCTCAGGACTGGCTGCTGGCTTGCTCTGTCCTGACCACCACAAAGGTGTCCATTTGTCTCAGGAAGAGCAAAGTCCGGCTTTGTCACTGCCATGGGTCTATCTTTAGGCCATCATCCCCTCTTCTCTGCTCTCTTCTCCTTTCTCCTGGCCTCTCCCAGTGCTTTGATTTGTAGTCGGAAGTTCCCCTTGTCCCCTTGCCGCTTCCCCCTCATTTCCCAAGTTCCCACAGGAACCTGGGAAGTAGGTTGTGCCCAGAGGTTAGAACGGAAACTGCAGCAAGATAACTCCAGGGGACAATGCCCAGCTGACGTCATTTCAACTTCTTTGCTTCAGCCAGAGGTGGTCTTTTTTTTTTTTTTTTTCTTCCGTTTTTCTTCAGGTTACTCTTCTACCCCACCCAGTTTAGTGTCTGTCAACTTCTGTCTGAAAGTTCTCTGGCATTGTCTGGTTGGTTTATGTGTTTCCTTTCATTCTAATTCAAAATTTATCTTCCAAGTGGTAACTTAGAAACCTGTCCTTTGATAGAGTTGCTTTCTTTTGAAGCAGAAAGCATCCCCTTGCGAATATCGTGATACTTTCCCCGTATCATTGTGTATTTTATTTTCACGGCAGTACCAAAAGGCAGGTAGTGTAGGGATGGTACAGCTGTAAACCCCAGGGAAACACACTAATGTGTTAAGTGAGTTGTCATCAATTGTGAAAAAAAAAATTTTAATAACCCCAGTTACTGTTTTCTAATTAGTTCCAATCCAGAAAAAGATAAAAGGAAACTAATGTTTATTAAGTGCTTACTATGTGCCCCGCAGTGTGCAAAGGTCATTTACATGTGTTATCTATTTTTCTTATATTTTAGATCAAGAACTAAGGCTCAGCATTTAAATAAGTGGCTTAAGGTCATGTCCAAACTGAAAGCTCTGTCTACAACATGCCACCCAGGGTCTGGATGGTTACATTTAGCAGAAATGTCGTGTGTGTTGGCCTGGTCTTATAGAGCATGTGAAGGGGGACTCAATTGTGTCTGTTCATTTTGTCTCCTTCCTCCAGCTCTACCTGCAGGCTCGCTTCACTTGGCAAGGTGCCCGCCTTCTCCGGCCCCTGCTGCAGTTCACCCTGATCATGATGGCCTTCTACACAGGACTGTCCCGTGTATCTGACCACAAGCACCATCCTGGTGATGTCCTGGCAGGATTTGCTCAAGGAGCCCTGGTGGCCTGCTGCATAGTAAGTAGCATCTTGTCCTCAGTTTGCAAGCAGAACCCTGGACTGTGGTTTGCTAAATGTTTCCAGCTTGGTACTGAAAGCCAGGGAGCCCTCATTTCTGTTCTCTGCTTGGTATCCGAAGAGTCACCTTATCCCAGAACTACTTCAGTAGAATGAGAATAATTCCTGCTTCTTTCCATCCTGTGAGTTTTGATCCAATAGGGTCTGTAATTCCTCTTCTCAATAAACACAAAAGCTTTGGGCTCATAGAATGTTGCAATTAGAAGAGATCTCCGATATTGTCCAACTTTGTCACTTTATAGATGAAGAAATTTAGAGAAGAAACTTGCCCAAGGTCACATGTCAAGTTAGTCGCAAAGTCTGAGTCTCCTGACTCATAGAGTGCTAAAATGCTGCTTGGGCAGACACTTACTATTCAGTGAAATTCTCAGCTTCTTGCAAAAACATCTACCCTTCCCTCCGTGACCTTTGGGGTGACTTGGTCAGACCCTAAACTCAGTGCTGGTGGGAGAAGAGGAAGTCTGCTGAAGGCCGAGCCCTCCCCCAGCCTGAGGGCCCTGCACAGTTCACACAGTTCCCTGGAGACTGGTCTTGGGATGGGACACATGCTGCTTTGCCTCAAACAGACGGGTCCCCCATTTCACATTCTTCACCCTTATTCCCAGTGAGGGTAGGATAAGGCATCCCACCTCTCTGAGCCGCCATCAGTAATCTCTGTTTTCCCTGCCCGCTAAAAGTTTTGAGGGGCATATTCAGCAAACGTGACTGAGCACCTGCTTTGATTGTACCCCACTGGGCCCTACTCAGAGAAGCTCACCCGAGTCCAGCAGGAACCCAGAAGACAGCAATGGCTGGATGTTTAAGCACCACACATGCAGGTTGTATTGTTGTTGACTGTCATCCTTGCTCATTCACAGTAAGAATTATGAACAATAGAGAGACTGAAGCCAGCTCCTCCTTTTCTGGTGTCTGAGCCTGGCTGCAGGCACATGTCTCCCGACAACAGCCTCTCCCCACTCTCCTCTGCAATAGCTCATCTCACTCTGTACTGGAGTTGTCGATGTGTGTCTCCCTTTAGACTTTAAAGGGGGCAAGGATCCTCTATATCATGTATGTTATTCTCCCGAACTTACCAAGGCCTCCCAGGGATTCTAGCTCAGTTAAGTAAATGTGTGCTTAAAAAGCAAAAAGCTAGAATCAATGAGTTGTTCTAATCTTTCTTGAGAACACTATAGAGAACATTCTCTTGAAGGCACAGGGATGAATAAGGCTCAGCCCTTGCTCCCAAGGTAATCCCATCTAGCTGCCTGCACAACCAGGCCAAGCATGAGAGCCCCAGTACAATGTTGGGCTGTAATAGAGATGTGTGCAGGGTGCTTCAGTGGGCAGGCGAGCGCCTGACTCAGAGTGGTCAAGAAGAAGGGGAAGGAGTTGCTGCCAACAGAGTAGGCACCACGAGGAAAGTAGCATCTGAACCTCTTGCCAGCCTTGGCATTGGAATCCTAGGGACTAGCTGTTTTGATGGCTTTCTTCATTGCTTTTTCTTTTCTTTCTTTCTTTTTTTTTTAATTTAAGTCAAGACCAGAAGGGAGAGAAATTGGGGGAGCAAACTGTTAATGAGAGCAGCTGTCATTGGCCAGCTTGTTCTCTGGTTCCTGGCCCTTTAATGTGAAGTGACAGTGGGGAAGGGGCGTTTGCACTAAAGGGTAACCCTTTGCTGACTGTGTCTTCTGAGCTTTGCTCTCAGCAGGAGGACAGTCTGTTTTCTTAGAGCCACTGCCTTAATTGGAATCTCCTCCAATTAAAAAAATTAAAAGGGGATCCTTCCTAACTTCCTCTCTTTTATATCCTAGAGCACCGGCCATGTGCAATTAGACAAAGTGTTCAGGGGGACCAAAGTTTATTTTCAAGAAGGGAATGAGGAGTCTGACTCTTATCCTGTAGCACAGGATAGGAATATTTTGATCTTAGCGTTTGTAAAGCACCTAGTCTGCTAGCACCATTCTAGACACTTTTACCCTTGTCTTCTCTTAGCAGCATGAAGCCCCTTTACAGATGAGGTAACTCAGGCCTGGAGAGATGCCTTAAGCTGTCCAAGGTCAAAGAGCTAGTAGACAGCTGCTCTAAGGGTTCTAACTGATGACAAAACTGTGCCCTCTGCACTCTGCAAGGAGGGGAGGTTCCAGAAGCTAAAGGCCAGCTAGAGTTAGCCTGAAGCAGAAGCTGCATAGACAGCTGCTTAAAGAGTATCATTTAAGTATGCCCCAGGGGCTGTCCCAACCCTTGGGCTGCTCCAGTCTTTACTTTGAGTTTGAAAGCCTGTTTTACCATGTAAAGATGGTTTTGGAAGGGAGTGATAAATATCTTTCCCTGTCTTTTGCCCACTCAGCTGTGAATGTGTGAGGGCAGGAACTCGATCTTATTTACCATTTTTCTCCAAATGCCCAACACTCAGCCTGGTGCACAGCTGACTTCTTGGTCCTGAATGACTTAGAGTCACGGCACTGAGTGATCCATTCCATGTAAGCCATATGAGAGGCCAGGGCACAGAAATGCCTGGAAGCTGTAGCCGCGCAGCAAAGAGTTTAGGAATGCTCAGCCAGGAGAAAAAGTGGCAGTGGGTCCTTTTCCCAGGATTCCCCGGATTCTGTTGTCCTGGTTTTGACTGTGAGGAAGACAGAAGTAAAGATCAGGACCCTGGATTGAGCCAGAGATGGGTAGGTCTGTGAGGGTGTGAGGACCAAGAGGCCATGTAATGAAAACACCAGGTTTCTGGGACAGGGAATGGTGTGGAGGATGAAGGGCGTCTGCCTCATCGCAGGTTTTGCAGCTTTATCAGGGTTTCTCCCCAGGTTATGCAATGTAGCTCTCATATTCCAAGCAGGCATCTGTGGCTCCCACTGTCCTTGTGCCACGTAGCAGAACTCTCCCCCTGGAGTCAGGGCTGGCTGTCCCAGGGAATTCCAGGGAAAGCCAAGTTACTATTCTTACCTGTGAATGTGGCTGTGTTTAACGGTCGTTGGAACACAAAGACATCACCTAAGGTTAGGAGGATAGAGAAAGAGGCAGCTTAGTATGGCACAAAAGCCGCTGCATGGGGTGCCAAGAAATGCAAGATGCATCTCTCAGTCTTCAGCCAAGCCTCTATGGACTCCCTATTAACTTGACCGAGATATAACACCGACTGACATTTATTGAGAGCTCACTGTGAGCCAGCCATTATGTCCAGCACTTTACATAAATGGTCTTCACTCCCCCGAAAATCCTATAGTGAAGGTTCCATTATCCTCACTTAAGAGGAGAGAAAACAGGGGCTAAGAAGAACTAAGTCACTTTGACAGAAGGCAGAGAAGCTGGAGTCGGTCTCAGGCAGCCTGATGCAGAGCCAGTGCCACAGGACCGGCGCTTCTAAGGGCCTCACCTCTTGACTCCTCTCTCTATGCCCTCTCCTCCAGGCATGCCAAACTTCTAGGTATTTTCTACTGCCCTGAGCTCTTATCTTAGATAGCTAGCCCCGTTTGATGGAATACAGTGCCAGCTCCACCTCATCTCTGATGAAACCTTCTGTATCAGTTGCCTATGGCTGCTGTAACAAATTACCACAAACTTGGTGGCTTAAACCACCGCAAATTTACCTTCTTACATCTAGGTTGCAAGTTAGAAATGGGTCTCACTGGGCTAACATCGATGTGTTGGCAGGGCTGCGTTCCATCTGGAGGCTCTAGGGAAAATCCATTTCCTTGTCTTTTCCAGCTTTCTGGAGCTGTCTGTATTTGTTGGCTCATGGCCCCTTCCTCCATCTTCAAAACCATCAGCATGGAATCTTCCAGTTTCTCTCTCTGTCACTCACTGGCTTCTGCTTCTATCTTCACATCCTTCTATGACTCTGAACCACCTGCCTCCCTCTTCTAAGGACCCTTCTGATTACATTGGGCTTATCTTGATAACTCAGGATAATCTCTCCATCTCAAGATTCTTAACTTAATCTCATCTATGAAGTCCATTTAGTTATGTATGTAACATCATTTTAGTTTCTGGGGATTAGGACATCTTTGGGGACCATTATTCAGGTTAGCCTACCTTCCCCAGTCCCTGAAAACAGAATTGTCTATTTTTCTTAGTGCTCCCATGGCCCTTTGCACTTCCTTCCTGCTGTGGCTTTTGGCCTGTTCCATCCATTTCCTGCTTATATATCTGCCTCCCCAACCAGACTATGGGTGCTTTCATAGCAGACTCCGTGGCTTAACCACCTGGTAATTCATTCTCTGTGCCTAGTGCAGTCACTGACACACAGTAGGTGCTTGATGAATGATGAATGAGCTTGTGGCCTCAGGATGCTTCCCGTCTGTGCCTGGTTTCTTCATCCGTGAATTGAGCTTGGGGGCCCGGTGACTCCCTGACCTTTTCACAGAGAGATTCTGTGGCACAGCTGACTTTGTAGTGACCAAGCTGATCTGCTTTCTCAGGTGGAACCGTCTCCCTGCAGAGCCTGTGAAGGTGCTCTGCATTTGGGGATCAAAGTCTGTCTTTAAGCCCCAGTGATGCAGTGCGTTACCCCAAGAATGTTGGTTTAGCCACTGCAGAGCCTTAGGCAACAGGCTATGACAGCCAAGCACTTTGACCTAGGTCTATTGAGGGTAGGTCTTGTCACAGCAAGCTGACTTGTCTAGACAAAAATCACATGCCACATGGGAGAGGGTTCAGTTTCCTCCCCTATTGCTCACGAGTTGACTGCTTTCCAGAAAGGGAAGACAATGGAACCCAGCACAGAAAACCTACATGGTGTCATGGAGACAGGCACATAGGGTCAGACAGGCCTGCACGCTGATGTATACCTTCACAGATGTGGACAGAGGTACACAGAGGCAGAAAGACCCAGCTGTACTCAGACACATAGATGTCCATTTTCTCTGTCTTGCCAGAACTCAGAGCCACAGACACACACAGACAGACAGACAAACGCAAGCATATGCACATACTGTCCCTCATAGACCCCCCTC